TGGCTCGTACCAAGCAAACCGCTCGCAAATCGACTGGTGGCAAGGCGCCACGCAAACAACTGGCTACTAAGGCCGCTCGCAAGAGCGCCCCAGCCACCGGAGGCGTGAAAGCCACATCATATCGCCCCGGCACTGTGGCCCTGCGTGAGATCCGTCGCTACCAGAAGAGTACCGAACTGCTGATCCGCAAACTGCCTTTCCAGCGTCTAGTGCGTGAAATCGCTCAGGATTTTAAGACTGACTTGAGATTCCAGAGCTCGGCGGTGATGGCTCTTCAGGAAGCCAGCGAAGCCTATCTGGTCGGCCTCTTTGAAGATACCAACTTGTGTGCCATTCATGCCAAGCGTGTGACGATCATGCCCAAGGACATCCAGTTGGCCCGTCGCATTCGCGGCGAGCGTGCTTAAGTTGAGACTGCATCAACTGGCCACCATTGCGCTACCATATTTTATACAAATCGGTCCTTTTCAGGACCACAAAATACATTCAATGAGATATTTATTTTTTATTTTACAAGCTTTTTTATTTTTAATTCATAAATATGTATTATGTTCGTTTTTTATTTCAGTTAATGATTCGTTGTGAAGGTGTGGTAGTTTCAAATGGCGTTACGATTGTATGTGCAAAGCACGAACTATAATAAACATTCAAACGTCATTAAAAAATTAAAAACTTTTAAAATCACTCTAAAATTCTTTGTTTATTTAATGAGTCAATAAATATATTAAAACAGATCACATTTTTATTTCGGTCTGTACTTGGTGGGATTTTACAAGGGGTACGGTTGTATGGGACAAACACGAACTATATTAAACATTCAAACGTCGTTAAAAAATTGAAAAACTGAAAAACACATTCGGAAAATAACTTTGCAACGTTTATAAATTATTTATTTATTAAACAAAGACAACAATTTGTTGAACGAAACCAAGTTTATATTTTTATTTCGGCTTGAATATAGTGTGATTTTTATAGGGAGCAAAGTTGTGTGGAACAGGCACAAACCACTCAAATGTTATAGAAAAATCAAAAAACTGTTTAAATCACTCTAAAAATAACTTAGCAACGATTTTGAATCCTATATTTATTTAATAAAACATCAAATGTATTAAAAAAGATAGATTTTGTGTTTTTTATTTCGTTTGGTAATTGGTGGGATTATACAAGGGGCAAGGTTATATGGGACAAGCACGAACTTTATTGCACTTTTAAACGTCATCAAAAAAATCGAAAAATGTTAAACACTTGCTGAATATAGCTTCGCAACGTTAACGAATACGTAATTTAATAAATAAAATAAAAAAGAATAACAATATAATAAAATTTAAATTTTTTTGACATAATCTTCAATGTGACTTTAACTTGATTCATATATGAGGCACAAATAAGCCTCTTTTGGACAAACTACAAATAAAAACATCTGAAAAATGTAATCGACTAAAGCAAACAAATAATTTGCTTAAGAAAATCACAAATAACTATGAAATTTAAAAATATTTATATTTTTTTCATTCCGAAAACTATGGCTGCTTCTCCCTTGAAAGCCAACTTTTAAGTAGCCTAGGCTCAACTTAAAACAAGTAATAAAATAACTTTTTTAATGAAAAGTAAGTATATTTTCAGTGTTTCTTAAAGAAAAAAGTTTAAATTTCATTTTTAATTGACAATTGTACAAGTAATTGTTAGATTTCTTATTTTAAAATAGGTTTTAAAAAAATTGCTCATGTTACAAATGTCAATGGTCAAGTTCATTCAGCTATAAAAGGTTGCCAAAACCAAATATTAAAATTTAAAAAATGCTAAGAACTTTATGGATTATTTAAGAATGTGAAAAAATAAATACTTTGTTTTTAATAAAGTTTTTAAACTCTAAATACAGGAAAATAAGTTTGCACTTCAAGTAAACATTTGCACAGCAAATGACTGGTGTCAGACCCATAGTTAAAGTGCTCTCCTCCTCGATTCTCATCCGAATGAAGGAGGTCGGCGGCAAGCGCGCGCGCCATTTTCTAAACAAAAAAGTGTTTTCGAGTGAACAAAGATGTCTGATTCTGCAGTTGCAACGTCCGCGTCCCCAGTGGCTGCCCCACCAGCGCCAGTTGAGAAAAAGGTGGCTGCCAAAAAGGCAACTGGATCTGCTGCCACAAAGGCAAAGAAGCCGACTGCACCACCATCGCACCCGCCAACTCAGCAAATGGTGGACGCTTCAATCAAGAACTTGAAGGAACGTGGCGGCTCTTCGCTTCTGGCAATTAAGAAATATATCACTGCCACATACAAATGCGATGCCCAAAAACTGGCTCCATTCATCAAGAAGTACTTGAAATCGGCCGTGGTCAATGGAAAGCTGATCCAAACAAAGGGAAAGGGTGCGTCTGGTTCATTTAAACTGTCAGCCTCGGCCAAGAAGGATCCCAAGCCAAAAGTTGCGTCTGTTGATAAAAAGGTCAAAAGCAAGAAGGTAGCCGTTAAGAAGACCGGTGTCACCGCCAAGAAAGCTGCCGGAGCTGCTGACAAGAAGCCCAAAGCTAAGAAGGCTGTGGCCACCAAAAAGACCGCCGAGAAAAAGAAAACCGAGAAGGCAAAAGCCAAGGATGCCAAGAAAACTGGAACCGTGAAGGCAAAACCAGCAGCAACAAAGGCCAAAACTACCGCAGCGAAACCGAAGGTGGCCAAAGCACCCAAGGCCAAACCAGCGGCGTCAGCTAAGCCCAAAAAGGTGATAAAGAAAGCAGCTGCTCCTGCTACCGCTAAGAAGCCGAAAGCAAAGACTACGGCTGCTAAGAAGTAAACTGGAAAAGTACAGTATCTGTACCAGTCCGCGCTCAAAATCGCAATTTTAGATTTTCAAATCTGAAATTTGTTTAAACAAGCCCTTTTCAGGGCTACAACATTCGTTAACAAGAGAAAAAAACTTTCAATTCAAAAACATTCAAATTATAGTCATTAAGCTTATAAATCAATTAATTTATACAAATTTAATATTTTTTTAATTGACAAATTGTGCTGCTGGTAACATCTTTAAATTTAATTTAATATTGCTGACCAAAAGTTAGCAACGCAGTGCAATCTAGGTTGAGGCGATTTCTTCTTGGCATGCCCTTTTCCATGCATAAGAATAATATAATAATAATTATAAATTATATAGCGTAGCTTAGGTATATATCCCTAATTTTTAAAATATAAAAACAAAGACTAATTTTATCGTTACATATTTAGGACAAATGGTATATTGAAAATGTAGTTTCTTTTGGTAATATATTTTGTGGCCCTGAAAAGGGCCGTTTTGGTTCTTTCTCCGCATACGCAGCAAGAGATATTTACTTGGAGCTGGTGTACTTGGTGACAGCCTTGGTTCCCTCACTGACAGCGTGCTTGGCCAACTCTCCGGGCAGGAGCAGACGGACAGCAGTTTGGATTTCCCTACTGGTGATTGTTGAGCGCTTGTTGTAGTGAGCCAGACGAGAAGCCTCGGCAGCAATACGCTCGAAGATATCATTCACAAAGCTGTTCATGATGCTCATCGCCTTCGACGAAATGCCGGTGTCAGGGTGGACCTGTTTCAGGACCTTGTAAATGTAGATGGCATAGCTCTCCTTCCTCTTGCGCTTCTTCTTCTTGTCGGTCTTGGTGATGTTCTTCTGAGCCTTGCCAGCCTTCTTGGCTGCCTTTCCACTGGTTTTCGGCGGCATTATTTATATTCACTTATGATTTCACAAACACAATTCACTGATCATAACGGAGCGAAAACGCGTTCATGTTTATACTTTTTTCGAGCAATCTTTTCAGGCCTAAGGAAACTACCCCTAACTGAACGCACAAGCAGACGAAAAAGTATAAATATGTGGCTTCCATATGTTTACTAGCATTCGTTCTCTGTGTGTTAAGTGAACTAAGTGAAATAAATCAAAATGTCTGGTCGTGGAAAAGGTGGCAAAGTGAAGGGAAAGGCAAAGTCCCGCTCCAATCGTGCCGGTCTTCAGTTTCCAGTAGGCCGTATTCACCGTCTGCTCCGCAAGGGCAACTATGCCGAGCGTGTTGGTGCCGGCGCTCCAGTTTACCTGGCTGCCGTGATGGAATATCTGGCCGCTGAAGTACTCGAGTTGGCTGGCAATGCTGCTCGTGACAACAAGAAGACTAGGATAATCCCGCGTCATCTGCAGCTGGCCATTCGCAACGACGAGGAGTTGAACAAGCTACTCTCCGGCGTCACCATTGCCCAAGGTGGAGTTTTGCCCAACATCCAGGCTGTTCTGTTGCCCAAGAAGACCGAGAAGAAGGCTTAAACGTTCCAAAAGCAGAGCCAACTACATACTTGTACATAAAAACAAACCCAACCGTCCTTTTCAGGACGACCACGTTTTTACCAAAGAATTGTAAAGATTTTCAAATAGAGCGAGGACTAAGGCAAAAGTATTTTTAATAAAATGGGTATTTTGAAAGAACGTTCATATTTCGGGTAAAAAAAATTGTTTGCAGCGAACATAATAATTTACTGCGATATTACCGAGTTTCTTTTCACTTCAAAATTCTAAGATGCTTGGGACTAATACGAATTTATGACAGAACGCTATCTGACGGATTAGCAATCCGGTTAGCCTGCATCTGAAGCAGTACAGTCTGCACAAAATACATTTAGGAGCTAGCTTTATCTTGAACAAAGCGAGTGGTTGCTTTGCCGCACATTTCTCTACCTGAATTAGCAACTGCCGAACGGCCGCGAAGAATATTTACCTACTTTGGAATTCTCAGCTAACAAAAGCAGAAATTCTAAAATGTTTTGAAAATTTGTCTCCTCTCGAAAACTTAATGGTGGTCCTGAAAAGGACCGATTGTTGAATGAAGTACAAGCTGTACTGTTTTTTTAACCGCCGAAACCGTACAGGGTGCGGCCTTGTCTCTTCAGGGCGTACACAACATCCATGGCTGTGACAGTCTTCCTCTTGGCGTGTTCGGTGTAGGTGACGGCATCGCGGATTACGTTCTCCAGGAACACCTTCAGAACACCACGTGTTTCCTCGTAAATGAGTCCAGAAATGCGCTTCACACCGCCACGACGAGCCAAACGGCGGATAGCTGGCTTCGTGATACCCTGGATGTTATCACGCAGCACTTTGCGATGACGTTTGGCGCCACCTTTTCCCAAGCCTTTGCCTCCTTTACCGCGACCAGTCATTATTCACTCTTTTCTATATAAACACACTGCACGAAAGTCACTGACGAACTAATTTCAATTTTTCGGCGTGCCCCTATTTATACCAAAAACCCAAGAAACCCGAGCGAGTGCGAACGATATGTTCGCCTCGCTCTTGGCTCGCCAAATGAAATGGCGTCTGCTCCTCTCTCTTTCCAACCCTCCACTTTTGCTATATAAGTAGGTAGCGATCGCGCCGAACGTTTATTGTGTTTTTAGACGTGAAGTGAACAGTAGTGAACATCCAAATCAATAATGGCTCGTACCAAGCAAACCGCT